CCCAGAGAACATGGTAAGAATGGGGTGCTTGGAACTCAAAGTCTTAGCGGAACCCAAGAGAAATAGAAGGGAAGGAAAGAGCATCAGAAAGGCAAGGCAATGCACAGTAATATAGCATGGTGATCAGGGGTGCAGACTCAATATAGCGGGGTTCAAATTGCATCTTGGAAGCATAGGCACATACCCACCCTTACAGAGTCTCAGTTTCTTTCTCTGTAAAGAGATCACAACGGTCCTTGTTCATGGTGCTGAGTGAGAAATTAAGTGAGATAAGCTGATAAAGTGCTTTGTGCCTAGCTTGGTACACAGTTAAGTGCCCTGTGGGTAGGAACTGTGCCATCAATTTTGTCAGTAAGGGACTGAAGCCTGGCTTGCTTGAGACTGTCCCTGGAGGTAAGAAGCCCTTGGGCTTTTCTCAAACCACTTTGTCTCCCATCAATGGCCCTGTCCTCTCCAGCCCCACAGGATCCCCATATCCTGGGCCATGAGTGAGTTGAAAGACTGCCCCTTGCAGTTCCATGACTTCAAGTCTGTGGATCACCTGAAGGTCTGTCCCCGCTACACGGCAGTGCTGGCGCGGTCCGAGGATGATGGCATCGGCATCGAGGAGCTGGACACCCTGCAGCTGGAGCTTGAGACCCTGCTGTCTTCTGCCAGCCGGCGCCTGCGTGTGCTTGAGGCTGAAACCCAGGTGATACCCCAGAGATGGACTGCAACAAGTTATGGGATGGGTCATTGAGTTAGCTCCATATGCTGAAACCTGGGATACAGGGGTTTGTGGGGAGAGGGAGAGAGACCCAAACTGGGTTTGCATGACACAAAAAATACACAAGAATATGCATGATCCTCTTAAATTGCAAGATTTCTAATTCGGTACACTTTTATTGGCATCCCCCCCACCCATCCCCCATTATGTTCTGGGTTCTACGCTAGTCATTAGAGAAAGGTAATTAGGACAGTTTTGGCTGTCAAGGAGCTTGCCAACTAGGAAAGGGAGAAAGTCAGGTGCATACCAGGTGATGTGATGTTGTGGTTAGGAGTCCTAGGGAACTGGAATGGGGAGACCTGGATTTGAATCCTGGCATAAGCACTTGCTAGCATTGCTGTTTCCTAGCTATATGACTTTGAGAAAGTTTTCTCACATCTCCAAGTATCAGTTTCCCTATCTGCAAAGTGGGGTGAATAATAGGACCTACCTTTTGTGAGGATTAAAAGAGAATTTTTGCAAAAACTCAACCCAATGCCAGACACTAAGTAAGCACTTCAGATGTTATTTATTTACTACTCTGATTACTTTATTCACTGCATAAAGATGCCTTCAGCCTTGTGTGCCAGGCGCTATGCTGTATCCTGCAAAATAGAGATGGTTAAGGTGTGCTTTCTGGTCTTCAGTAGCTTATGGTCTAGTTGAAGAGACAAGGTGCGATGGTCATTCCAGTGTGACCAAACAGCATGATTGGGTGCACGGTGGAGGTGTGAAGTGCCAGAGACTTGTAGAGGAAGGAGGTGCCAACTGGACCTAAAAGGATGAATGGAATTAACTTGTCCCTGGGAATCCATGGAAGCTCCTTGAGGAAGGCTATGTTGTATTTTAGCATCTAAGAACCTGGGTAACTGATTCAGAGAAGGCATCTCAGTAGTGGTGACATTGAAGTGAAGGTTTGCTGGAAGGACTCTTCTGTTAAACAATATGTGACTGGCATGGGTGATAAAGAAGTGAATCAAAAGCACAGATGAACAAGTGAATGAGATGATGAGAAGTATATGAATAAAGTCGTAAGAGGCCAGACACAGAAAATGAGCTGAATTTTGAAGGATGAGTAAGAGTTTACTAGGTAAAAAGAGGATGGGGAAAGGCCCAGGAGACTCCTTAGATTCTAGATCCTAATTTATTCACTAGAGGAAAGAGATATTCTTTGTTTTCCCTTCTCCCCCTCAGTGACAGTTTCTGTACATTTTAGATCCTCACCGACTGGCAGGATAAGAAAGGTGACCGACGATTCCTGAAGCTGGGTCGAGACCATGAACTTGGAGCTCCCCCGAAACATGGAAAGCCCAAGAAGCAGAAACTGGAAGGGAAGGCGGGACATGGGCCGGGCCCTGGCCCAGGACGGCCCAAATCCAAAAACCTTCAGCCCAAGATCCAGGAATATGAATTCACTGATGACCCTATCGATGTGCCACGGATCCCCAAAAATGATGCCCCCAACAGGTTCTGGGCTAGAGAACACAGAAGGGGGCCTCAAGGTTCTGGTGGTGGAGGCGCTGGTGGGGCAGGGGCACCCACTGAGGATCTGCTTCTCCCTGCAGGTTCTGGGCTTCAGTGGAGCCCTACTGTGCTGATATCACCAGCGAGGAGGTCCGCACACTTGAGGAGCTACTGAAGCCCCCAGAAGATGAGGCTGAGCATTACAAGGTAGAAACTCTGGGCCTTGATAGACATGATGCAGAACAAGAGAGTTCAGAGGTGGCTGAGAATTAAAGCTACCAAAGCCATGCATCATCTTCCTTCCCCCATCCTGCCCAGCCTCCTATCTGCTCCATCAATGTATCCAGACACCCAGGTCCAAACTCAGCTTGCTTTGTGCGCTGCCTCCCCTCTACCTGAGCCAGATGTCACCACGCCTGCAAGCTTAAGTGAAGTGTGCCCGTGTTCCTTTATCTCTGTCCGTTTGCTTTGGTCCAAGCCTTCATCAACTTCTATGCAAACAGCCCCTTAACTCTGTTCCTGCTTTGAGGCCTCTGGAGGAACCTTTCTTCTTTCTTTAAGATGTAAAGCTTGGGCCAGGTGCAGTGGCTCATGCCTGCAATCCTAGCACTTTGGGAGGCCGGGGCAGGCAGATGGCCTGAGCTCAGAAATTCGAGACCAGCCTGGGCAACATGGTGAAACCCTATCTCTACTAAAATACAAAAAATTAGCCAGGCATGGCGGTGTGCACCTGTAGTCCCAGCTACTTGGGAGGCTGAGTCAGGAGACTTTCATGGACCTGGGAGGCAGAAGTTGCAGTGAACTGAGATCACGCCACTGCACTCCAGCCTAGGCAACAGAGCAAGACTCCATCTTTTTTAAAAAAAAAAAAAAAAAAAAAAGATAAGAAAGTCGGCTCACACCTGTAATCCCAATACTTTGGGAGGCTGTGGCAGGCAGATCACCCGAGGTCAAGAGTTCAAGACCAGCCTGACCAACATGGTGAAATGCTGTGTCTACTAAAAATACAAAAATTAGCCAGGCATGGTGGCATGCACCTATAATCCCAGCTACTCAGGAGACTGAACCAGGAAAACCGCCTGAATCGGGGAGTCATAGGTTGCAATGAACCAAGATCGTGCTACTGTATTCTAGCCTGGGTGACAGAACGAGATTCCATCTCACCAAAAAAAAAAAAAAAGATATAAAACTGTATGTTTTAATGATGAAAATAAATAAAACATGCTCCATTAAAGAATATTTAGAGGCCGGGCGCGGTGGCTCAAGCCTGTAATCCCAGCACTTTGGGAGGCCGAGACGGGCGGATCACGAGGTCAGGAGATCGAGACCATCCTGGCGAACACGGCGAAACCCCGTCTCTACTAAAAAATACAAAAAAACTAGCCGGGCGAGGTGGCGGGCGCCTGTAGTCCCAGCTACTCGGGAGGCTGAGGCAGGAGAATGGCGTAAACCCGGGAGGCGGAGCTTGCAGTAAGCTGAGATCCGGCCACTGCACTCCAGCCTGGGCGACAGAGCCAGACTCCATCTCAAAAAAAAATGGTAAACACAGCAATGAATATTTAGAAAATACAGAAAAATGTTGAGGGAGAATACTCCCATAGGTCAGCTGTCATCAGATGTGCTCATGACATGGCACTGCATCTAGGCCTGTCTTCATCCCATTATCTACAGGATCAAGTCCATGCATCCCAGTCCTTGGTGGCACAGCTCCAGTGCCCCTCTCCATTTTCCTCAGACATACCCCTCTTCATTGCTGTGTTGACCAGTCCCACCAAGTACCTTGCCCTCATTCCAGGACACCACAGCCTCCTTGCTGGTCTCTGGGCCCCTCTGGCAAGCTCTTTTCTCCCTCTTCTCTCCCTGATAGACTTGACTCACCCTCCAAGGCTCTGATCTCATGTTACCTCCACCAAAGCACCCTTTCAGATTCCCCAGCAGAAAGTTAGTCTCTCCTTTGTGCTGCCACAACACTTTGATCTATCTCTTTCACTTCACTGACCTTTTTAAAAATTTATTTGAAAAAGAGTTCATACAGACAGCAGTTAATTCAAGCAATATTGAAGGTAATTCCCTGTCACCCGTGACCTGAAGGCTCCTAATTCTCTCGAGAGGCAATTGATGTGACCTGAGACAATCCGTGTATGTAGAGTATTCTGCACCTTCGATCTTGGGAATTGTTTCAGATTGGCTTCTGTGTGTGTGTCTTAGTCCTTTTTGGACCTGTCTCCTTTACTAGAGTGTGAAGTAGAGGTAACTTCTTTATACTTTCTTACTTATACCTGACACTGGGCTTGGTCTTGGACTAGGGACTTGAGAGAGAGATAAGACAGATAAGTGAATAAATGAATGAATGAAGTATGGCTGGCCAGTGCTTACCCACTCAGGGTTGGGTGCCATCTTTTCCACAGATCCCACCCCTGGGGAAGCACTACTCCCAGCGTTGGGCCCAGGAGGACCTGCTGGAGGAGCAGAAGGATGGGGCCCGGGCAGCAGCCGTGGCTGACAAGAAGAAAGGCCTCATGGGGCCACTGACTGAACTGGACACTAAAGGTAGGCCTCTCACCTCCCTGCCAACCCCAGGTCAGGACTTGAGTTCCAGAACTTCAGCCCACCTGCCCTCCTTTCCTGTGCCCACTTAGATGTGGATGCCCTGCTGAAGAAGTCTGAGGCCCAGCATGAACAGCCGGAAGATGGATGCCCCTTTGGTGCCCTGACGCAGCGCCTCCTGCAGGCCCTGGTGGAGGTGAGCACCCTAACCCAAAACAGGAGCCACATTTACTTTGTGTTTTAATGTGTTATATTTATTTTTTATTGGAATATTTCATACATTTATTAGGTTGGTACAAAAATAATTAGGTTGCTGCAAAAGTAAAAACCTGGACTAACACATAGCAAAAGATTGGGAATAATACATAACTTTTGCACCAACCTAATAGAAAAGTGCACAGATCATAAATGTACAGTTTTCACAAATGAGCTTGTATTAGCAGCCTGGAGATTACAAAATGAAACATTACTATATCCTAGAAGCCCCTCTCATGCCCCTGTTTTTCTCCAACTTCCCCCAAAGATAGCCTCTACTCCACAATTAACTTTTGCTAAGCATCTGTTGGAGGGGCTTTATACACATTCTCCCACTGGAGGCCAGGACAGTGGTTAACCCTGTGTTACAGATGAGAAGATTAGAGGCTCAGAAAAGGGAACTGTTCACTTGAGGTCTCACACAGCAGGATTCAAACTCCTACTTCGGGGTCGCTGTCTTTATACCTGCTGGTTGACCTTAGACACACCCTCATACTCTTTCCCCTCATTGAGACTCAGTTTTCTTTTCTGGCTCAAACACAATAGTTTCTCTCATGTAACAGTCTGGGTACATGTTCCAGGTTATCTAAGGTAGGGGAAGGGGCATATCATCAAACAGGAATCCCAGCTGATGGTGGCCTTGCAGTCTGCACAAGGTCACTCTGGGCATAATTGTCACTCCAGTCCCACAGAATAAGAGCAAGGAGGAGTGTGTGAAGGAAACTTTTTGGGCCATGCCTAGCTGTGGCTCTTATTTCTTCTGATCACTTTCCCCTGGAGAGAATCTGTCACATGACCATACCTGCCTGCAAGGGAGCCTGGGAAATGTAGTGCAGCTGGACAGGCATTGCCTAGCTGCCATGGAGGAAAGGAGAGAGGCGTTCGGACAGCTAGCACCTCTGCCACAGCAGGCCTAGCACAGTGCCTGGTGCGTTGCAGGCACTTCACAAACCTTGACTGTTCATTACCATCATTGAGTGTTAATCATTTCTCTTCTGTGTTCCTTTTGTTCCTTTTTCTTCATATCAGTACAAAAATGGATTTCTAGAATGATCAAAGCAATTTGGGATCAGTATGGGAAGGCTTCCCAGAGTAGGTGGGATGGGAAAGATAAAAGGATATTTCTGGTGTTTGAAGACTGTCAGTGTAGGTCAGAAAGGAGCAGGAAAGTGGAACAGCTCTTTTTCCTTCCACCCATTTCTGTGGTCTTCTAGGAAAATATTATTTCCCCTATGGAGGATTCTCCTATTCCTGACATGTCTGGGAAAGAATCAGGGGCTGACGGGGCAAGCACCTCCCCTCGCAATCAGAATAAGCCCTTCAGGTGAGTGGTGTCCTATCCACAACCCACAGTCTGGCACCCACTTCTGTTGGCTTCTCTCCACCTCAACCTGGGGAGTTCCTCATCAATAAGAGGCTGGGGACAGTTAGGTGAAGCCCAATAGCAGTCTCAAGTGTGAGTGCTGGCCCAGTGTGTCTGCATGCACAGACTGAGTGCAGGGTTGTTCAGCACAGAACTGTTCATACCATAAATAAACCAAATGTCCTGCTGAAGGGGAGTGGTTGGCTAAATTGGCATAACTCCATATGATGAAATAACTTGCAACTATTAATCATATAGCTGCAAGTATAGAGAAATATAGGTAAATGACATGAAAAGATGTAAATTATAGAGTGCCAAGTGGGGAAAATGTTAGTTGTAGGCCAGTACAGATACATATTTTTATAATCTTATTTTTACTTAAAATGTATTTCTTTTTTTCTTTTTCTTTTTTTTTTTTTTGAGACAGAGTCTCACTCTTGTCGTTTAGGTTGGAGTGCAATGGTGCAATCTTGGCTCACTGCAACCTCCGCCTCCCAGATTCAAGCAATTCTCCTGCCTCAGCCTCCAAGTAGCTGGGATTACAGGCGCCTGCCACCATGCCAGGCTAATTTTTGTATTTTTAGTAGAGACGGGGTTTCACCATGTTGGCCAAGCTGGTCTTGAACTCCTGACCTCAGGTGATCCTCCCACCTCGGCCTTCCAAAGTGCTGGGATTACAGGCATGAGCCACCATGCCTGGCCTACTTAAAATATATTTAAATACGTGCACATAGGGGAAAAAACCTGGACTAATATGTAGTAAAAGATTCGGAATAATATATAACAAAATCTGGAATATATATAATAACATATAACAAAATAATAGTGATTCTCTCTGGGTTGTTGGCATTACAGGTTTTTCCATATTTTTTGGATAGTGGATACATATGTTGCTTGTATTTAAAAACCAGACCAGATGTGTCTGTCCTTCCCTTTGTATCTGGATAGATACAGAGGGGGTGCCCAAAGGGAAAGGCAGGTTTTCACTGAGCTTGGGAAGCCCTGGGAACCTCCAAGGTGGGCCCTCCTCCAAGCTGGCTCTTGAGTCTGACAGGGGCCTGCCTCCCCCTGCAGTGTGCCGCATACTAAGTCCCTGGAGAGCCGCATCAAGGAGGAGCTAATTGCCCAGGGCCTTTTGGAGTCTGAGGACCGCCCAGCAGAGGACTCCGAGGATGAGGTCCTTGCTGAGCTGCGCAAACGGCAGGCGGAGCTGAAGGCACTTAGTGCCCACAACCGCACCAAGAAGCACGACCTGCTGAGGTGAGTGTGAGTAGGATGCACAGTCCCGCGGGTGGCCTTGGAGGCTGTGGCCACAGCTGGTCACCTTCCAGGGGTTTTATAACAGGCTTTCCAAGCCTAGCTGGCCTCTAAATCACCTGGAGAGCCTCGAAACAGCAGTGGCCAGTCCACCGGGTATGTGTCAAACAAATTCTAATTCCACAGAGTGGGGCTCAGGCATGTGTGACTGATTGATCGATTGATTTGATTTGATTTGGTTTGGTTTTTTAATTGTGGTAGAGGCATAATGTAAAATGTATCCCCATGGGAGGCTGAGGCAGGAGAAACGCTTGAACCTGGGAGGCAGAGGTTGCAGTGAGCCAAGACTGAACCATTGCACTCCAGCCTGGGCAACAAAAGTGAAACTGCGTCTCAAAAAAAAAGAAAAGAAAATAAAATTTACCCTTCTTAACTATTTATTAAGTGTGCAGTTTAGTAGTGTTACCCATATGCACATTGTTGTGTGATTTATTTTTTGTCTTTTCATGCTGCTTTTCTTTTTATCCCCAAAGTTTTTTTATTAAAAATTTCATACACGCAGAAAATCTGAATCTTACAATAAACATCAGCATATTCTCCACCTAGACTAATTAACTATTAACATTTTGTTAGAGATCTGTGACTTTTATTTGCTTATCACAAGAAATTGACCAGTGTTTTAGGACATGTTCTTTTGGGAATCCGTCACAGTGCCTACCATTCATTTGATGTCAACTCGCATCCATCTTGTTCTGCATTGATCACAACAAAGGTATAGGTGACATCTGGAGGAAGACTGTGGAATAGCTACCCTTTAGTTAAAGAGATAGGGAAGCAACCCAAACAAGTCTTTGCTTCTCACAGGCAAGTGCTGTGTCTTAACTTCATAGAGCCCTGACAGGACAGGGCATACACATTCATTTGGCCTTTTTTGTTGTTGTTGAGACAATGTCTCACTCTGTTGCCCAGGCAGTGGGTGTAGTGGCACGATCTTGGCTCACTGCAACCTCCGCCTCTCAGGTTCAGGCAATTCTCCTGCCTCAGCCTCCTGAGTAGCTGGGATTACAGGCATGTGCCACCACCATGCCCAGCTAATCATTTGGCCATTCTTACTGTCTCTTAGACATTGTGCTAGGGACCAGCAAGAGAGGCACAGCAAGAGACTTGCAGATTACTAGCAGATGATCAGTAAAGACGAGTGCCATTAAAAGGAGAGGTAGTTGCTGACAAGCTGCAGGATATTTAAGGATAAGGATGACTAATGTATGCGGAGTGCCTACTGTGTGTCAGGGGCTTTATGTACACTCTCAAGTGTCTTGACAACAACCCAGGAGGGAAGTGCTGTTTTCCTTGTTTACCAGATGAGGAAATAAAGGCCCAGTGAAGCGAAGTGCTCTGCTGAAGGTCACACACTCAATAAACAGCCAAGCTGAGACTTGAGCCCATGGCTGAATCAAAGCCTCTTTCTGTAATAGTTCACGTTTTCTCTGAAAGGTGAGAAGAAGAAAACACAGATGGAAGGGGCACTGAGGGAAGGAGAGGGAGAGAGGAAGAGAGAGAAAAGCAGGCATGTGCAGTTACAGAAGTAATGGGCCTTAGCTGGGCCTGGTGGCTCATGCCTATAATCCCAGCACTTTGGGAAGCTGAGGTGGGAGGCTTGTTTGAGCTCAGGAGTTCGAGACTAGCCTGGGCAATGTAGTGAGACCCCCATCTCTACTAAAAATTTAAAATCAGCCAGGCATGGTGGCACATGCCTATAGTGCTACTCAGGAGGCTGACGTGGGAGGATCACTTGATCCTGGGAGGTGGAGGCTGCAGTGAGCTTGATCAGGCCACTGTACTCCAGCCGGGGTGACAGAGTGAGACCTGTCTCAAAAAAAAAAAAAAAAAAAGAAGTAATGGGCAATGAAGAAATGGCTTGCAGCTCTCAGGAAACCAGAGCACAGCCCTTACCCTGCTGCAGAGCAGCTGCAAGGCCTTAAGCGCTCCCTGACCTGAGCAGCAGCTTCCTCTTCTGGAAAACGGGCAGGCTGGACTCAATCACTAAGTGACTTTCCAGCTCCACCATCAATGAAATGTATAAATCAGATCCTATTCAGAGAGATTGATTTGGTGTTTCACCCACCTCCTCAGGCTGCCTAGACCTTAGGAATGTAGATGCTGAAGTGAGCAGGCCTTCTGCTGGCACTGGAACACCTGTTAAAGAACAGTATTTAAAAATAAGAGTTTAGCCCCAGCCTGCTCCAGATCTCCCACTTACTCACTGTGGGATCCTGGGATCATCTTTGAGCCTCATTTTCCTCACGGGTAACATAGGAATAATAGTACATACTTTGCAGGGTTTTTAGGATTAACTGAAAGAGAGAGTGGGTACGTGTGTGTGTGTGTGTGTGTGTGTGTATATATATATTTTTTTTTTTTAAGAGACAGGATCTTGCTCTGTTGAGGAGGCTGGTCTCAAACTCCTGGCCTCAAGCGATCTTCCTGCCTCCACCTCCCAAAGTGCTGGAATTACAGGCACGAGCTACTTCACCCAGCCTACTGTATATATTTTTAAGACTTTTTTTTTTTTTAAAGCACAGTCGCCGGGCGCGGTGGCTCAAGCCTGTAATCCCAGCACTTTGGGAGGCCGAGGCGGGCGGATCACAAGGTCAGGAGATCGAGAACATCCTGGCTAACACCGTGAAACCCCGTCTCTACTAAAAAAAAAAAAAAAAATACGAAAAACCAGCCGGGCGAGGTGGCGGCGCCTGTAGTCCCGGCTACTCGGGAGGCTGAGGCAGGAGAATAGCGTGAACCCGGGGGGCGGAGCTTGCAGTGAGCCGAGATAGCGCCACTGCACTCCAGCCTGGGGCACAGAGCAAGACTCCGTCTCAAAAAAAAAAAAAAAAAAAAAGACACAGTCATGCTGTGTTGCCCAGACTGGAGTGCAGTGGCATGATCATAGCTCACTGTAACCTTGAACTCCTGGCCTCAAGCAATCCTCAGCCCCCTTGGAGTTGGGACTACACACACCCAGCTAATTTTTTAAATTTTTTGTAAAGACAGTCTCACTATGTTCCTCAGACTGGTCTCGAACCCCTGGGCTCAAGTGATCCTCCTGCCTTGGGGTCCCAAAGTGCTGGGACTGCAGATGTGAACCACCAAGTGCAGCCAAGACTTTATTCTTTTAGAGCAGTTTTAAGTTCACAACAAAATTGAGAGAAAGGTACAGAGAATTCCCGTATACCCCGTCCCCACATGTGCACAGCCTCCCCCATGATCAACATGAGTTAGTATTTTTTTCAGGAGCTTAAAATAGTGCCATATAAGTGCAGGTCAGTAACTGCTTTTTGGTCACGACTGTATGACACAATCCACAAGCATGCCAGCCTGGGCTGGTGGGTAGGCTCAGTCTTGAAGAGGGAGGGGCCGCTCTCTGGAGGTGGGCTGACCATGGCACCTGGCTGGCTGGTCCCCACAGGCTGGCAAAGGAGGAGGTGAGCCGGCAGGAGCTGAGGCAGCGGGTGCGCATGGCTGACAATGAGGTCATGGACGCCTTTCGCAAGATCATGGCTGCCCGGCAGAAGAAGCGGACTCCGACCAAGAAAGAAAAGGACCAGGCCTGGAAGACACTGAAGGAGCGCGAGAGCATCCTGAAGCTGCTGGATGGGTAGCCCTCACCCCTGCCTCAGGCTGATTATCTGGCCTCGGGGAGGGGAAGGGAGGCCCACTTCCTTCTTTGGGCACAGGAAGCATTGGCCTGTGGCTGTCCCTCAAATGGCGACAGTCTCTAGAGGACCGTGGCCCTTCCCCTGAGGTCTTTTGGCCTAGCTCTGTACAGCCAGGACACAGGAAGCCCTGCTGGGCTGGCTTGAGGCCTAGTCTCTGCTTGGTCCCCAAGATGGGGTTGGAGGGGACTTCGTTTCCTGGTCTTCCTCTTCCCCCTTTACCATCCCCCACTCCCTAACCCCCTGCCCCTGTTTCCCCTTCAAGGACTTCTCCCTTGTGGTTTTGTAAAGTGCAAACTTAAGAATAAAGTGACTGCTGTGGTTTTTCAAAAAAAGCATCCAGTCTTTGAATGTCTGTAACGGTGGGGTAAAGGAACCAGTGTGGGTGGTAAGGTTTGTAGGGGGTATGCTTGGTGGCTCTCAGCCCGTGGCCACTAACCCATGGCATACAGTCAGGGAGAACTGAGTACCTCTTTCTGAGTACCTCTTTCTGAGGATACTTGTGGCTGCAGGTAAGAATGCCCTCCAGCTCAAAGTGGATTCATAATAAGGAAATGTGTTAGTTGCAGGCTTGGCAGTCCTGGGACAGGGTGGCCTTCATGGTTAGCCAATCTAGCAATTCTTCAGGGTCATTAAGGGTCCAGGTTCCTTAGGGGTCGCTACACTGCCCTCCACAGTGTCAACCTCTGCCTAAGGTGAGTCCTTCTCTGGCTGCAGTGTGGCAGTGGAGCAGTTGAGGCCAGATGCTTCCTCATTTACATCCAGCACAGCAGGGAGCGGGAGCCAGTGGGCTTCCATGGCCCACCTACAGGAGCAAGAAGCCTTTTCCCAGATACCATCATGTTTCAGTGGCCCAAACTCAGTCTCACATGCCCATTCCTCAGTCACTGTGGCAAGAGAGACTGTAATGGGTTTATGCCAGAGTGGAGTTTGCTACTCCATCAAGGTGGTGGAGAGAGAGTAAAACCTAACAAGATCTGAGTAGGAAGCGGGGAAGTGAATGCTGGATAGGCCACCAACAACCACCCTTCCACACCTGGTGCAGGAAGCTTGGCCTGAGGGACACAGATGAATTAATATGCTTTGGTACCTGCCTCAAGTTGTTCCAAGACTGGTCTCAGAGAATCAGGGAATAATTTGCAATTTACTGTGGGAAGGTTGAGATCCACGCAGGGGAGAAGCGAGGGTAAGGGTCCCTAAGGAAGTGACCTATGAACTGAGCCATAAAGAAGGAGGGCGAACATGGCCGAGATTCTCGTACACCCAGCACCTCTCTGTTGGAGAAATGTCCCTTCCCCATCACACATGGCTCTTACCTGATTGCCAAACTAGGGTGGACACATGGCCCCAGCTTGGCCAGTGAAGGGGTGGCCTGCTCCTCTACACCTGTGGGCGTTTCTCATTAGGTGGAACAAGAGACTTGAGAAAAGAAATGAGACACAGAGACAAAGTATAGAGAAAGAAAAAGTGGGCCCAGGGGACCGGCACTCAGCATACAGAGGACCCACGCTGGCTCAGTATTTATTGATAATTATCTTTACCATCTTAGAAAAAAGGGAAGTAGCAGGATAATAGGATCATCGTAAGGAGAAGGTCAGCAGTAAGACATACGAATAAAGATCTCTGTGACATGAATAAGTTTAAGGAAAAGTGCTGTGCCTTGATATGCATATGCAAACATCTTCATAAACCCTTTTAGTGCATAAAGAGCAGCATTGCGCTAGCAAGTCCCACCTTTCGCCCTAAGGCGGTTTTCTCCTTTCTCAGTAAACAGAACATACAATCGGGTTTTACACCGAGATGTTCCATTGCCCAGGGACAGGCAGGAGACACACGCTTTCTCTATCTCAACTGCCAAGAGGCTTCTTTCCTCTTGTACTGGTCCTCCTCAGCACAGACCCTTCACGCGTGTCAGGCTGGGGGACGATCAGGTCTTTCCCTTCCCATGAGGCCATATTTCAGACTAACACATGGGTAGAAACCTTGGACAATACCTAGCTTTCCTAGGCAGAGGTCCCTGTGACCTTTGGCAGTGTACATGTCCCTGGGTACTTGAGATTAAGAGAATAGTGATGACTTTTAACCAGCAAGCTGCCTTCAGGCACTTGTTTAACAAAGCACACCTTGCACAGCCCAAAATCCTTTAAACCTTGAGTCACCACAGCACATGTCTCTTGCAAGGACAAGGTTGGGGGTAGGGTCACAGATTAACAGCATCTCAAATGCAGAACAAAATGGAGTCTCTTATGTCTACTTCTTTCTATATAGACACAGTAACAGGCTGATCTCTTTCTTTTCCCCACAGCCAGTCAAGTGCCAATCCCTCTGGCCACAATGATTAGTCCCAGAAGCAGGCATGTGACCCAAGTTGGGTCACTCGAGGCCCTCCATAATATTGCTCTATGGATGCTGAGAGGAGAATTTCACATCTTTTTGGACCATAAGCCACAGATGATAAGCTCAGGCTACCCCAGTGACCTGCGCTCCTCCCATGGGGAAAAACCTGCTTGAGAATAAAGCCAGCTCAGAAAAGCAGAGCCAGGAGAAGGAGAAGCGCTGCATCCAGCTATTCCTGAAGCCACCGGATCCTCCCTTAGACTTCCCACATATATCAGCCCACAAAGACTTCTTCTGGCTTAAACTAGTTTGCTTTAGAGTTTTGTGATTTGTAACTAAAAAAGGCCTAACTCTTACAAGTGAATTTTGGCAAAAAGAAAGATGAAGTAGCATCCTGAGAGAGAGGACAGCATGAGGCCCTGCCTCCCACTAGGTGCTGGGCCAAGCTGCTGCAATTTCTCAGTGACTCATTGTCCCCAGGTTGCTCACAGCCTTCTCAGAGAGAAAAGACACCCACACATGCAATGATGAAAAACCAACTATAATCATAATGATAATGCAATTAAGTGCTCAGTAAATGTTAGTATGTACCAGGCACTGTTTTGAACTCATTCAACTACCTAATATTATGGGGTAGGTATCAGCTACCCCATAATAACATCCCATTCACAGATGAGGAAACTGAGCCTTAGGAGGTTACATACCTTGCTTTGTCAAGCAATTGAGTGGTTGAGCCAACATTCAAACTCAGGCCATTTGGCTTGCAGAGAGAGCCTCTTCATTACAACTCACTGGGTCCCCACTCCCATTACAGTGTATGTGAATGGTACTCCCTATACTTGGGCAGTGCCCAACCTATGCAGCCATACACGGCAGCTCTGCTCGAAGACCCCCTCCTCTTAACTACTCAATTCCATGTTCACTGGGCCACACCATAAGTATAGTGGGCGTTGTTGGTAGAGAGTTCCAAGAACAGAGACAGTTTTGCGGAGGAGGTGGGATGAGAGCTGACGTCCTAAAATTGGATAGAATTGTGAAAGAAGGAAGACAGATATAAATAGAAGGAAGAACCCTAGAAGACCGACTGGGCCTAGTTCACCAGAGAAGAAACTTAACTTTCAAGGATCAGTCATGAGCACTCTAGCTGTT